CAGCCAATCCTGAAGCTGACCTGGCTGAGGCCATTTTGAGGCTTCAGTGTTGCCACACTGGAGCTAAGGGATAGGGAGGGGGGGATAGGGACAGTTGGGATTTTGTACCCAAACCAAAATACTTTCTCCTGGAAACCAAGGTCATTTCTACAAGTGGTCAGAGAGGAGTGAAGTTACCAGGCAACCTGACAGCACCTTGATTGGACCATGTGACTGATTGTTTGGGAAAGTGGGGGAAACTTTTACTTTTAATTAGGTGTAAACCGTGGGAGCATTCAGAGTTAGTTTTCACCAACATGTGCCAATATGTAATGTCAAATAAAACTATTCTTTGAGGAACCTATCTGCCTCGGAGTTCTATTTGCTATGGGCGTATTACCTAGAACCCTGACAAATTATTGGGAATATTTCTAAGGTTGCAAAATGTAATTAGAATTGACCACAAATAAAAGAAATGCATTTATGTACACAAAGCTACCTTGTCTACATTTGGTTAACTGAAACCACCGCCAGTATTTTGCCACAGCCAAGGTGTTAGTGCTTATTGACTTTTTGCATTAAAGCTGGCATTGCCAAAAGCTTACACAAAAGCAGTAATTTCTGTTTAGCAGCATTGAAAAAGCTTGTGAGAGAAGTGAGAAGCACTGCAGGCATTTTTTTCACTGGTTAGTATGTTATTCCAGGCAGATCAACACCTAGTACCTCTGTGCTGAATTATTATCCTCTGCTCGGAAGCTATAAAACAGAGTTTGCTTGTGGTAAAGATGGAAAACTGCATCCATATTTCGTTCTTCCTTTTCTGGGACAATTGTGAAACCCAGCAAAGGCATACTCTCAGTGGCGACTTTGTCCTGAAATCAGTGCAAAAGGGGAAATGGGCTTTAGGGGAAGAGAGGACTTACACACAGAGAGGAATGCTCTAGGAAAATAGAGAAACTCTCCTTCGTCTTTCTGGATTTATATGATTGCTCATAAAATTTTGATAACATTAGCTTTCAAATAATAAATGTGGGTTTTCTCCATCCGATAACGCTTGATAAATCAGTGGCACGCTTTGGTATTTTCCAGATTTGAAAAATATGGCTGAGCTTGACTTCTAGCAACTGCATCAGCACATACATTTTGGTTTCTTGGGAATGGTAGCCCATGTGACTTGCCATTGCTTTTGCTCAGAATTTTGTTCTGAATTCTCAATCTCAATTTCACAAACATGGGGTTTCTTTGGGTGGCCTTGCACTCAAGAACTAAACTGATCCAATTCTGTGTAGCTTTCTGCAAGACCAACCAAGGTTGGTAACTATTAGAATCTGCTGCAACAAGTAAAGACTCCTTTGAGTTAAAGCTGACTCCATATGAGTCAACTACATTTGTGTAGTTTTCTTGGCAGCTATACAGAAACGATTTCTTCCGGTATGTTTTTGTGACTTTCCTGCTTTGCCTACATTCTAAGATTTTCAATCATTAAGTAGTTCAGCTTAGTTTGGCTTTTTCAAAACTAACCAACCTGGGTGGTATTAAAAAGTAGACATGTCAATCTTGTGTAGGTTGTAAGTTCTGAGTAGTTTGGAAATACTCCCCCTTCCCACACACCAAAACTTACTTCGTTTGCTGTATATGTGTAGAGCACTTTTCCTTTGATAACAAACCATAACTTTTTCCAGTGCCTTTTCCCTCTCTTGCATCTGCTGAGATACCCATTGATAGAAGAACCTTCTCCTGAAGCTGCCACCTACATGAATGAATGAAAGGGAATCAAAGCTCTTGTAACATCAGATACTTAGGAATTGAAGAGATCTAAATTATCAAGAATCTTCCCCACTTTCCTATACTGCATATTGAAGATTTATATGTTTCCTAAACAAGCATTCACAGTAGTTGCAATGACGTAGAACAGCACATACAGTGATTGCACATGGATGAATATGGATGAAAATATACCTAAGGGAATATACTAGCCAGTTTGGGGTAGTAGTTATAGGCATCAGGTTAGAAACTGGGATACCATGAATTCTAGTTCTTAAGGCATAAAATCAACTGGGTGATTTGAGACCAATATTCTCAACCCTAGGAAGAAGGTAGTTGCAAATCACTTCTGAAAAATGTTGCCAAGAAAACTGGTCCAGGTCATCCAGGCTTCTATGACTAAATCAGAACTAAATCTTGGGGTTTCCCATGTCCAGCAGCATAGACCTAATTAGCTCTCACACACTGAAAGTTGACTGTGTCTATAGCAATAAATAGATATTTCTATTTATAGAAATAGACATAATTGTGAAAAGGGACACCTGTATTTATAGTTATTTTTACACTTGGGGCCTCGGAATGAAAAAAATGATTAGTATCAGCATATGCTATACTTTTGATCTGTATTTTAAAAACCATCTTTGATTAAAAAAAACAGCATTTTGCAAAATCCATTGCATTTGAAACCTTGAGACTGATATTTATTTGGATAATTATATAGCACCCTCTTGTGGTGGCAGAAAAGAATGTACACAGATCACAGTTAACTCTGAAAGTAAGTCATTAAGTAAATGACTGGTAAATGAATTGTTATTGCAAGTAATGATAAGAATTTGACTTTTAATTTGACTCAACATTATATAAATAAAGCTTTTATTATTATTTTAAGTGATATTTTCAAGGGGAAATATGATTTAGGGTGATCTGTTTTATAACATTTTTCCCTTTCCTTGGGAAGAACAGAAAATCAGAGCTAGAAGGGACCTTGGAGGTCTTCTAGCACAATGCCCTACCCAGGCAGGAGACCCTATACCATTCTAGACAAGTGGCTGTCCATCCAGTGATGGAGCACCCACAACTTCTGAAGCCAGCAGTTCCAATAGTTGATTGTTTTCATTGTCAGGAAATTTCTCTTTAGTTCTAGGTAGCTTCTCTCCTTGATTAGCTTCCATTCATTGTTTCTTGTTTTGCCTTCTGATGCTTTGGAGAATAGTTGGTGGAGATTCTCAGTCATTCCGGTCATGGTTGTCCCAAAGATGCTTTTTTCAAGAGGCAACTGGATTTTTGGGATTTTCTTTGAAAATGTTTTGCTTCACATCTAAATTTCTTCAGCTCTGAGCTGAAGAAGCTTCTTGGGTGAGAAGTGAAACCTCTTCAAAGAAAAACTAGAAAGTTCAGTTGCTTCTTGAAAAAAGCACCTTTGGGACTTTAGAGAATAGGTTGACCCCTTCTTCTTTGTTACAGCCCTTCAGATATTGGAGCACTGCTATCACGTCTCCCCTGATCCTTCTTTTCACTAGACTAGACAAACTCAATTCCAAAATATCAGTTCCGAAATTATTTCTTTGGGGAAGAATCCCCCCATACCTCCCGCCCAAAAGAGATAATAGTGCACTAAGCTGTCCAGATATGCATTATAATTAGTACGAATGAAGATATAGCAAAAATGTCCTGTCTCGATTTCATTGCGTTTTTTGCAGGCCTCCTTATCTTACCTCCAAAAGAGCTGAAGGAATTTTCTTTTGCCTTTTGAAGGAAGAGTAGTGGAACACAGAAGAGAAGGCACTGCCTGAAAACCTGGATGAACTTGTAGGGAAGCTTATGCTTATTGGCCGCTCTGCAATAGTAGAAATGGGAAAGGTTTATTTGATGTATGACTTCTGGCTTTCTATCCAACTGTAAGCACCTTATTGTGGGCAATGTGTCAACTCAATATTACTTTGGGTCTTTAATTTTTATCCATGAAAGACCATTTATTCTGATCAAGTTAAAACCAAGAGAAGAAATTTCCCTCTGATCAAAGTTATTCTTATACAGTTTGCTTTCAAGATAAATTCTGAATGGTGTGGATTTCATTAACGTCACATTTAACAATAGAACTGGGTTATACAGATATAATGCTCAGGAAATTGCGCTATATCTAATTGTGTCCCACTATTGTAGAATAAAAGATAGAATAGAATAACAGAGTTGGAAGGGACCTTGGAGGTCTTCTAGTCCAAAACCCTGCTTAGGCAGGAAACCCTACACCACTTCAGACAAACGGTTATCCAACATCTTCTTAAAAACTTCCAGTGTTGGAGCATTCACAACTTCTGGAGACAAGTTGTTCCACTTATACTTTCCATAAGATGTTTCACAAGATACGTTTCTTCTAACCAGATCACAATGAGCTGAATGAATGAGCTCCACAAGGTTCCCGTTGAAAATATTGGATCCTTACAAGAATATTAGTTTTTGTTTAAAGGGAGGGGAAAATCTAAACAGAAACAGAATAACAGAATTGGAAGGGACCTTGAAGGTTTTCTAGTCCAACCCCCCTGCTTAATCAGGAGGTCCTATACCAATTGAGCCAAATGGCTGTCCAAGCTCTTCTTAAAAATCTGCAGTGTTGGAGCACTCACAACTTGCAAATGTTATCTTTGCCAACAGACACCCCAATGTTTCCAATGGACAAAAAAGGATTCACCTCTGCTTTTTAGTTCTGTGTAGCAGCCATCACAAACTTTTGCTAGTCGGTCTTTGAGGTACTTCAGAGGATACTTGTTTCTTGAACAATTTCGGCAAATAATCTACATGAACACAAGATAGGGTACACACTGTCTGGGTGAAGTCAGAAAAGTATGAATCAAAGTTGGAAGTGACTTGAAGATCATTCAGTTCTAATGCCACGCAACCACACACACACACACACACGAACACAAATGCACATGTACAAATACATGTACATAAATGTTAAGAGCCATGGTGGCACAGTGGTTAGAATGCAGTACTGCAGGCTATCTCTGCTGCCAGCAGTTGCAATATATATAGCAATATCAGTGGACTTATATACCGCTTCATAGGCCTTTCAGGCCTCTCTAAGCGGTTTACAGAGAGTCAGCATATTGCCCCCAACAATCTGGGTCCTCATTTTACCCACCTCGGAAGGATGGAAGGCTGAGTCAACCCTGAGCCGGTGAGATTTGAACCGCTGAACTGCTGATCTAGCAGTAGCCTGCAGTGCTGCATTTAACCACTGCGCCACCTTGGCTCTTAACAGTTCGATTCTGACCAGCTCAAGGTTAACTCAGCTTTTCATCTTTCTGAGTTGGAAAAATGAGGACTCAGATTGTTGGGGGCAATATACTGATTCTGTAAACTATAGTATAGCCTTTATTGTCATTGTACAAAATAAATACAATGAAATTGGTTGTATAAACTGCTTAGAGAGGGCTGTAAAGCACAGTGAAGTGGTATATAAGCCTAAATGCTATTGCTATTTCTATTAATTATTCTATGAAATTTGCCCTTCAACTAAGACCAGCCCCCTCAGTAAGAGGATAGGATGATCCAATTCTCCTTAATATTTAACTCATTTTAATATATATTTAACATTATACATCAGTTCTCAACCTGTGGGTCGGGACACCTTTGGGGGGTCGAACGATCCTTTCACAGGGGTCGCCTAAGACCATCGAAAAACACATATTTTTGATGGTCTTAGAAACTGAGACACTAATTTTATGGTTGGGGGTCACCACAACATGAGGAATTGTATTAAAGAATCGCGGCATTGGGAAGTTTGAGAACCACTGTTATACATTTTATCATCTTACAGTAAAATGCAGTTGTCACATTTATTGCTCTTTATAATGAGACTGCTTTGTATTAATATTCTAAAATGGATGATTGTATAATAGCACCAGTTTCAGAGCAATAATCAGCCATTTACAGGCCTCTTTCAAGTGTTGAAGGATGATTGATATCCGAAGACATCATACGTTGCACATAAAAATGAAGTAAGGAGCTGTAATTCCAAACAAGAAATAACAGTCACATCTGTCACAGAATAGACAGATGTACAAAATTACATTAATTTCATTTTATGAAGTGACTAAGACAGAATCAAATTCTGTATGGCATTCTTAATCACACTATTTATATATAATGTATTATTTAAATTTGTAAGGCTGTCCAACTCAACACTGACTCTGGGTGATGTTCAAATTAAAAACAGACACAATACCTAAAAACAAAACAAAAAGTAACCATAATGTGGGGAACAACTACATCCTAGCTGAAGGAGATACTGAATGCCAAACTGACATCCTATCAGTCAAATTAAATCAGTTTATTACAGCCCCAAAGCCAAATAAAATAAGATACTTAATAGTAAAATTGATAAATACTTATCTCTCTATAAAACAATAGAGAAAAACAATGTATAATAGGATCTAAAACAATTAAGAAGATGCAAAATAAATCAGAATAAAATGGTGCTATAAGAAGTTCCAAACTTAATGGTGTGGCATACTGTACAAATGGTGGCAAAAACCTGGGTAGCTTGGGAAGATATTTTTGAGGCCTTTTCCTAAATAAGTAACATTAGGTAGAAATTCCATTCCTTCCTGGAAATTTCTTCAAGATTTGATAAATGAAGGTTTGTCTAGAGTACAGCGCAGTAGCATATGGCTTGGCGTTTCTAGTGAGTCATCACCACAAAGGACTGCTGAAGGCAATGCATCCAGCCTGACTAAAGTGAAGACCTTATGAAATTTCAGAATTGTAATGGATGGTAAATAGGAGGTTAGAATGAATCCTTTTAGCAGAATATAGTAAATATCTGAGTGTAATCCTCTGATTAAATTTGTTTGGAGATTTATATACCAAATTTATTAATTGAATTCAGGTCTAGCATTCTTAATAATGAGCACAAACCTTCCAGATAGCTTCACTCAATGAATTTTATCTAGGGCTTTTAAAAACTATGACGATTTAAACTCATATCTAATTACCAACTGGCCAAACTGGATTTTTGTGGAGTGGCTGCTTACAGAAGACAAATCTTTTACTACAGTCTATTTTAAAAATGAGGTTCCCTTCCTGGTATGAATGGATGGGAATATGTACTATAATAAAGAGATATTGTCCCGATGTTTCTTTGCTGCCAAGGATCAGAAGACATCCATTTCGAGTGAGATATTTACCTTCCCGCATGCATGGCAATGGTGACGCCTCAGTGTGAGTTTAAAGTCACAACCGCAGCTCATACACATCATGACGTGAGATACAGGTACCAAAGTTGGTGGCCTCTCACCCAAAGACATTCCCAGCCTTTCCCTCAGCTGAAAATAAAATACAGTGGCTTGTTTTAGTCTTATAACAATGTAGAAGACATGCCTCGTCTGAATCACTTTAATTAAAATTTGTAAGGACTTTAGTATTGGCTTCCAAGTTCAACTGAAATGTCACAATCAGGAAGATACTTACTTTCAGCATGATACAATAAGATGTTCCTTTAAGACAGGCAAGTTCAAATCTGTGGCCTACAACCATATATATATAGCCCTTTTCTACTTTCCAGAGAATTCCCAGTGTCAACTGAATGCCTTTCAGTGGCAGGGATAAATATTTGTGCTTACTTATAAGAACTTTTGGGAAAAGAAGAAAAGTGTGAAATAGTTGCCTGAAGCTGTTTCCTCCCACCCATCTTCCCAAAAACAAATCAAAAGTTTTTGGTTTCACACACTCCTATATCACCATGATTTTTCTGATCACATCTTTTGTGGCCCTGGGAGGAAAACATTAAAAATGGAACTTTTTCGTTAAATGAATACCTGCACAGAAATAATGAAAGAGTTGTTTTGGCCAAACACAGACAGTTGTTTTATCTGCAATAGGTATTTTGCTGATATTTTCCACCTCACTTTTATAGACAGGCTAATGGTTTTGGGATAAATTAAGGTGCAATTCCTAGAGCCTCAAGGGAATATGTTTTGGAAATTTTGCTGCCAGTAGTATTAAAAGAGTAGGTATGTTAGATGAATAAACATATTTTGTCGAATGGTTTCTTCCTCTAAAAACATGAGCTGAGAAGCAACCTTATATATGAACACGTGTTTAGAATATGGTGATATGGATGAATCTTCTTTCTTCCAGCATATTCATATTTGCAGTTTGTTCTGCAAAATATTCTTTAATTTTCTAAATAATTCATTTTCAGTTCGGAACAGAAAGCCCCAATATCTTCCACTCCCTCAAGAACCTAACTTGATGAGTGAAGCCTTTTATATAGTAGAATCCCAATTAAAGATAGCCTTCCTCACAGAAATTAGTCAGAAGATAATAACAAATAATAATAACAAAATTAAACATACAACAAATTAATTAAAATAGTAATATTCCAGCAGTAAGTCTGTGGAGATTCTCAGTCATCCAGGTCATGGTTGTCCCAAAGGTGTTTTTACAGGAAGCAACTGGACTTTCTTGTTTTTTTCTTTTGAAGACATTTCACTTCTATTCCAAGAAGCTTCTTCAGGATAGGATAGTGAGGTGTTGTGACTCAGCAGAAGCTTGCTGTGAGTTGTGTCAGGATGCAGGAATAATGAGCAGCTGTTGCTCGTTAGGGTCTCTGCAGATAAAAGACGGATGGTGCCACGCCTTAGTTGCAGCAGTCAACGTCCATCGGTCATGGTTCGTTGTTCGTGAGAGGCACTTGGATAAGTGATTTGCTTTCTGTGAACCTGGTTTGCTGGAAGAGCTTTTTGTTTTTGCCTTAGCTGTGTAACTTTTTGCCAGAGACTTTATCTACGTTTATTTTGGGCTGGCAGCCAGCTTGAGCCAGGACTGATAAAGATATTTCCTTTGAAGTTCTGTCTGACTGTCAGACAGTCAGAGGGAAGGTCAGAACAGTGAGGAATAGAAGGATTTATATTCCTTGCAGACAGCTAGTAATTTGCATCCTTTTAGAGGGTCATTGAAGCACTTGAAGGTTTATCTACGTATGTCCTCAGGGTCACCTGAGTAATACTCTTGGTTCCTGTATTATGCAATTTTTTCTATGGAAATCCATTCCTATTCCCACACCATTCGAAGGGAATTTTTTCTTTTTCAAAAGAAAAAAAAAGAAAAAAGTCCAGTTGCCTCCTGAAAAAACACCTTTGGGACAACCATGATCTGGATGACTGAGAATCTCTACAGACTTTTAGCTATACAATTTGGGATGAACACCCTTTGAATGGTGTGGGAGTAGAAATGCATTTCCAGAGGAGAAAAAAATTGCAGACTACGGGAACCAGGAGCACTACTCAGGTGACCCTTAGGACACAGGTAAACCTTAAAGTGCTTCATTGACCCTCTAAAAGGATGCAAATGACCAGCTGTCTGCAAGGAATATAAATCCTTCCACTCCCCACTCTATCCTGTCAAAACTGAAGATGTGTCTTGTATGAGAAGCAAAATGCCTTTAAAAGAAAAAACAATAACATCAAGTTGGCTATTGAAAAGAAGCACCTTTGGGATTCCAGCAGCAACCTCAAGTCAGCTGAATAAGAAACACACACACACACACATATAGTATTGTAGTAGCTTTTGGCCTTCAACTTTGCTAAAAAAAAATGAAAATAATCTAAATGTCTGACCATGCAGGACTTCTTTTTCTAAACCTACTCATATAGGTCACAGAACTGGGGGGAGGCCAGAGGTGGGGATGCTCTCTTACTTCAACACTGTTGTGAAAGCCACCTCCGCTGTGAGCCCCATGGTCTTCTGGGATGCTTCTGCTGATGCAGCTGTACCACTCATCCCTTTCAGAGCATGAGCTGCCGAGAGAAAGGAAGGAGTCAGCTTGATCCAAGTTACAACCTGCTATTATTTAATGACAGCATTTTCTTTATAGGCGTGCCAGCCTTGCCCCCATTTCTAAAGCAACAGAGAACTCTGAAATGTTTATCTCCCAAAAGCTGGCAAATAGACAATGAGCACTGCCCTTAACATTCATCATAGTTTGTTAATATGCTTTTCAATAATACAAAAGGATTAGAAAAGTGGAAAATATAGACACATATTTTTGCACACTGATCATTAGAGGTCACTGTTTACTGTGAGAACCAGCTAGTGCTGTGTTCTGATTTTATCTTTTGTTTGTTGAAATGTCAACTCAGTTTAACTCTGTTGTCTAATGGGCACCATCTGAATACTTGTTATTACCCCTGCCACATCCATGTCACTTGTCAAGAGACTCAGCGGTAGGTTGTGTTAAGTTTAATTCATTTAAAAAATAGGGTGGGAATAAATGCAGATTCCTGAAGAATCTGAAGATTCAGGAAATTCTGAAGATTTCTTTTTTAAAAAAAATACTTTTATTGTTTTATATCATAAATTCCATTTCTATATCAAACAGTGTGTTTTCTAGATGTCCAAAGTGTTAAAATAAACATCATAAACATATATGCGATAATATCAATCATTATTGAAAAGTATACTATCTTCCATTATGATATCAATTATAATTATAAATTATAATTATAAATATCAATTATACAATTATCAATCCATTTCTATTTTGAACAATGTGTTTTCTCGGTGCCCAGAGTTTTAAAATATAAACATCATCATAATCATTATAATCATGTACATATAGATATATATGAAGATTCCTTAAAGCATGCAGAAGGCTCTCGTGTCATATCTCAATCCAAGTTTCCTCCCTTAAGGAACGGAGACCCAATGACTTTGGGCATTGCTTCCCAGGGAGGGTGAAAAGTGACATATGACCATTTTTCAAATGGGGCAAAACTCACCTAACAAATGTCTCACTTAACAACAGAAATTTTGGATTTAATTGTGGTCGTGTTGAGGACTACCTGCATGGATTCAACTGGGGCTGTTTTGTTTCCTGCTTCTATAATTGATATTACTGTCCAGATTATTTAAGTAAAATAAAGCGAGTGGTTAGAAAATAAAAGCCTAGGCATCAAACCTTCCTTCAGGTGTAAGAGGCAGAGTAACACAGCAAGATTTTCTTTGCCCGCCACCGTAATGCTCTTTCTGATTTTGATAATGGTTAATTCATTAAGATGGTTTCTTTTTAAACAGGGACTCATTTAGTTGTCAGCAAAGTTTTAAATCTTCCTTCTGTCATTTAAGTGCTATAAAAATGCATTTAAACCCACTGAGTAGAATTGGCTAATTATTTCGTTTCATTAGCCCTCCAATCACCTAAGGGGCACAATTTGACAAGTGAACTTATAAGCAGAGAAGCGGGCAAAGCATGACAGGAAAAAAAAAGTTACAAAAGATGAAGAAGCAGACCATATGTCTATTAGAAACAGATTTTCTACTCTTCCTTTTACGTCTAAGGTCTTCTGAAGTGCTCTTGGCACCTGAAGAACATAGAAATTGCGGTATCTTTTGACTCTTCAGTTAAAATGGATGCTTATTTTAAGGTCAAACATTAAGTGTTATCCAATAGAACACCATGGACATTATTGGAGTTTAAATATAGCAAGACATTAATGAGATCTTGGGGAACAGATATGTTGACCCACAAATTCAATAAAAAGAAATGACTGAATACTGGTACAACACAGCCTACCTTGCAGATAGAGTTAAGCAATTATCAGCATATTCAATCTTCAGAACATTCTGAGCCTTTTTTGTTGCTGGACGGCTGACCTAAAAAGAAATGGCATTTGTCTGAAGGAAAGAGGCACCTTAATTTATCTGCCAAATATGCATCTTTCTTTTTCATGTACCAAAAGCAACATGCTGTTCTTTGCAAATGCTTCTTAGAACATCCACATAGAGTTGAGCTTCTCTTCATGATATAAAAGTGATGGATATCTTAAAGAAAGTGAAAGTTTCTTTCATGCCCTACGAACACTAAGATAACAACCTGGTAGAGGTTTTAATATATGACCACGAAAGATATGGAACAAAAAATTGACTCACCACATCTCAAAATAAGAGACTATGAAGGCACATTCTCCAAAGAAAATTTGTAAGCTTGTCCCGCTCAAATGACTATTTATACTTTAATCACTTGCCTCATTTATTGCAATAAAATTTCATGAACCTTGATCTCACTTTTTTTCCATAAACTCAGAGACTAGTAATGGGGGTGGGTGGGAATCTTGTGCATCTAGTCCCGTGATGGCAAATGTATGGCATGTGGGCCACAGGTGGCACGCAGAGCCCTCTCTGCAGGCACGTGAGTCGTTGCACTAGTTCAGCTCCACCATCCATATGCAAGTGCTTCCCGCCGGCCAGCTGATTTTTAGGTCCCTGCTGTGCATGTGTGGGGGTGGAGCACATGGAGAGATGCACACGCATGCGTGGAGGGGGCGGGGGGGGGTCACACATGCATGTGGGCAATGGGGTGAACTCGAGGTATAGTGTGCTTCCCCGGGATCCGTTTTTGATCCCAGGAGGCCTACTAGGCCCACAATGGGGTCCAAGGGGGTTGCACATGCATGCGTGGTGGGAGCATGGGGCGGTCATGTGGACATGTGTGTGGGGAGCACGGGACGTCGTGCATGCATGTATAGGGGGCAGGGCATGGGGACAGGGTGTCATGTGCGCATTGCATTATGGGCGTGCTTTCGGCATACAATGACAAAAAGGTTAGACATCACTGATCTAGTCCAAAACCCAGCTCAATGCAGGCAGCCCAACTATACCGGAATATATCTGGTAGATGTTTGAAGTATTTATTTGAAGAATTCTCTCAACTAAAAAAACCCCCCAATCATTTGTTTAGATAAATGATTCCATAGCTGAAGTTCTTACTATTAAGAAGTTTATTCTAATGTTCAATGAAACTCACCTTCCTGAAAGTTTAATCCATCAGATGTAGTACACCAATCAGAATTAAAACATTTTATTATTGTGGCAATTATTTTGCTTTTTGATGATTGTGACTGTGTTCCTATTTTATTCTTATTAAATGTAATACATTTCTTCAACATTGTCTGACACAACTTATTTTTCATATTACATTTTTCTTTTAATCTTTCTACTTGTATACTACTACTGATTATTCCTTTTTTGTGAACTTCAAGTGTTTAATAAAACTAAAATCATCTTTTCACAATCATATCTGATTATTGAATAATGTTTAGCGTGTGTGACTAATTGCAATCTAGAGATCCATTTCATGGGATATTTGCCAAGCTAGTAATCCTTCATGCTGTGCTAGTGGATCTGATATTTTTTGCCTATATTTTTTTTTTATTCTGTTCAATCTTGTTGCTTCACCTCAATTTAATTTTATATACTATAAAAGTATTTCTAAATCCCATCCCTTTTTTCTGAAGTATTAGTAACCATTTTCAGGATTCAAAATTCACAACACAAACACTGTTGAAAATTATCAGGCTGGATTCTTATGCAGCCTCAATTGAAATTACACTTCAATTTGATGAGCATTGAGTCCCTTTTCCAAAGAGGTGTGACTGCATCTGTTATCAACACCTAGCCAACTCTTCAGTTAGTACTTTACTTAAACCAAAATAAGTCACTAAGTCAGAAGTGGAAAACCCTGTAACATACGATCCACAGTGAGCCACTGACAGTCAGGCAGCATATCAATTTTAATAATACTATAGTAGTAGTAGTACCGTGTTTTCCCGAAAATAAGACAGGTCTTATTTTCTTTTGATGCCCGAAATAAGCGCTTGGCCTTATTTTCAGGGAGGTCTTATTATTCTTGAGCCGCAGGAGGAGGTGAGCGTGGTCACCTCATGGCTGCTGCTGTGTTGCAATATTTTCGGGGAGAGCTTATTTTTGGAGGAAGGCTTATTTTAGTGCAGGGTAGTAGTAGTAGCAGTAATAGTAGTAGTTGCAGTAGTAGTAGTAGTAGTAGTAGTAGTAGTAACAGCAACGATAATAATTTGCATACCAGGGCTGTGCTAGTCACACTCAAAAACACATAGGAAACTCACATTTAAATTGAATTATCGGTACACTTAAATTGAATTTATATAAAATTATTTAAACATGATCGTTATTATCCTTTTTGGTCACATTCAAGATTACAGTTTGATGATAAAAAAGCTGCAGAAGACTATGTGCTTCTGCAATTAATCCAGACGATATGTTGTTGTTCAGTCACTAAGTTATGTTCAACTCTTCACAACCACATGAAGCCACAGCACTCCAGGCTCACCTGTCCTCTGCTGTCTCACAGAGTTTGTCTAAATTCATGTTCCTTGAGTCGATGGCACTTTTAAACACTGTCATCCCCTAGGCCTTTCCCC